GGGGGGGTACCACTGATATATCCTAATTTTGTGTCAGCCTTTCTGTTTATTTGTCACAGGACTAAAGTTTGTTATCATGTCAGCGTCCTTATCTTTCGCCTACCAGTCAGCCTACCACATATGTCTACTTGTTGTCTACCTTTTCATAGACCCTATATTTTGATTATTTCCTTGTTTTCATCTCGATTTATTGCCACAAACTCTTTTTTTAAAGAAAAAAGGACAAAAAATAATGTCTGAAAAATGATCAAAATAACTTTCCATGTTGCAATGTTTTTCAAGATCTCGTTTAAACAAAGCTTCTAGCCTAACAATCGATGTTGTGTTTAGAAATAGACTGTTTGGCCTTCCATTCATATGTGCACTTTCTCAAGTGCATGCTTGGCGTACCCTGCAGCTCTAACTGTTGTCCCGTGGTGCTTCTAATCCCGTGCCAATGTGCGCATGGCATTCTGTGTCGTAGCTGAGACTGCGTAGTGGCATGCAAAGAACGCACTGTCGTTGGCGTTGTTATGAGGCAATCTTTTAGGAAACTGTCATCATCATCATCATCATCATCATCATCATCATCATTCGTTTTAATTGTCGTCGCAATCGTTGTAGTCGTCGTAGTCGTCATTGCCTTTTTGTTCATCGCTAAAAACATCACCAGCAGCAAATATTATGGTATTTGTGTTTATTAATGTGTTAAGAACTAGAGCAGAACGTGTCTCTTAATAGCAGATGCTCTTTAACCATTTCATCTTAATATATCTGTAAGACAAACTATCGTCAGTTGGGTTGCCATCGATTGTAAGAAAATTGGTCTACATGATGCAGGGTACTAGAGCCTACATGATGGTTTTAAAGTGATTTCAACAAGCTCGTCAAATAAGCCTCCTCCCCGCCCCGCCCGTCCCCCGTCCGTCTCTCTCTCTCTCTCTCTCTCTCTCTCTCTCTCTCTCTCTCTCTGTCTCTCTCTCTCTGTCTGTCTGTCTGTCTGTCTCTCTCTCCCTCTCTCTCTCTCTCTCTCTCTCTCTCTCTCTCTCTCTCTCTCTCTCTCTCAGGAAAATACTGACTTCTAGTCAGACAGGATACCAACTGTCTATTCAGCTAAGGTCATGTTTTATCCTTCTTGTTTTGATGCCCCCTCGCTTTCTTTCCATTATCTTTTCTTCTGTACTCCCGTCTTTGTTTTCCCGTTGTTGCTTCTGTCTTTATATTGTTGTAAATTTACCTTTCTGTTGCACTTAATGGCCGTCATTGGGTCGATGTGCTTCTCTTTGCTCTCACTGTCTCTATTGGATATTCTTGGTAGAGTTACGCCTTTAGGTTGCTGTCAAACTGACGGTCCACTGCGACGTTTCTGTTCTACTTCACGATCTACTACTGTACCTGTCTGACAGTTGTTCCACTTGCGGATCTACCAGTCAACTACATAATCGTAATCCTAACCCCAATCCTAACCTTAATCCAATGACGTGTTAGGGTTTGGGTTAGGATTGGGGCAAGGGTTATGGATTGTAATAGACTAGTAGACCGCCAAACGGAACAATTGTTGGACTGGTACATCAGGAGACGTCAAGTGGAGCAGCAATAAGTATGCAGATGACTGTCGAGTTTACTGGCACAAGCATCTCTATTTCCTGTTTCTTAAAACCTTTGATGAAAATAACTGTTGAATTTTTTGTCCTTCAGTAATTATTATCACAAAATGTTTAAATCCACAATTAAAATATTTATAACCATCACCCTTTTTTAAAAATAATGGGCTTACCTGTTCCAGTGCTCTATCGGCTCCTACATTCTGTTATGTTTGTACGTAGTTAGATATAACGAATGTCAGAGAAATGCCGAGATATTGTGTTTACATTTTTATCACCATGGAGATGATACCTTTTTCAAATTTTCAGGGCATCCATATGTTTCCGCTAGGCCTGTTTATGGAAGTCATAACAATGTCTATTTCAGTAAGATCTCGTGCTGTGGGGCCCCAGGCCCGTACACTTGTGTTGTTTCAGTTACGTTTGGTGTGGGTTGTGTGCATTATGCATGATTTAGTTCTAGTTTGGTTTTTTGTTGTTGGTTGTTTGTTTTTTTGTTTTTTTGCTGGGGTTGTTTTGTTTTGTATTTTCTTGTTTTTTATATTTTGTTTTTGTTTGTATTTTTTTTGGTGTTTTTATTTTTTTTGTTTTTCCTTTTTGTTTTGGAAACTCCGAAATTCAGTTGGGTTTGGGGTTTTTTTTGGTCATGTTCACTTTCTGTTAATTCAAACATGTTTCTGATGGTGTTTTAAACCTTTTGTTCAGGTGTGGTGTTATTGCTTCTTTTTTATTTTGTTAAGGCTTTGTCTTTACTAAGAGAAAACTGTAATACTATTTGGTCATTAACCTTTTACTTTTTGTTTCTTTTCGAGTAAAAAGCTAAAGGACGGGGGTTTCTAACATGCATAATAATTCTTTTCTTTTTTCAAAGAATCTTTTAATCAGATCATAAGTTTATTAATTATCTGGTGCACATAATGTAAATGACTAGTTCTCATATTAATCACAATGTTTAAATTGATGAATATGTTGAGTTTGGCTATTTCATGTATTTATTTATTTATTTATTTATTTATTTATTTATTTATTTATTTATTTATTTATTACTAAGAAATGGGGTTACAGAGCTTGTGTATTATGTTTTGCATGAGTTTGCACGATGTTTTGCGATCTGCTGGCTTCAAAGTCCCATTCCGTCTTGCATGCACTCGTTAATTGTCAAGGTGTATGTCAAAAGCAGTTCATACAAGACATAACGCACATTGTTATGGCTGCGTAAAAACGCGCTGGTATGTAAGCTTGAGAGTTCAATTAGTGTCTTTGGGGGCCCTTGTGCTCTGGGGTGTACATTCTATGTGAATACTGCTTGAATGAGGAATTATCATCATCATTTACAGAATGCCAAAAGAGAGACAGAGAGAGGTAGAGAGGAGAGAGAGAGAGAGAGAGAGAGAGAGAGAGAGAGAGAGAGAGAGAGAGACAGACAGACAGACAGACAGACAGACAGGCAGGCAGGCAGGCAGACAGACAGACAGACAGACAGACAGACAGACAGACAGACAGACAGACAGACAGACAGACAGAGACACAGAGACAGAGAGAGAGAGAGAGAGAGAGAGAGAGAGAGAGGGGGGGGGGTAGATAGCGGAGAGATCATGTACGTGTGTATCGGTGTGTGCGTTTGTGTGTGTATGTGTATGTATGTGCATATGTGTGTGTGTGTGTGTGTGTATGTGTATGTGTGTGTGTGTGTGTGTGTGTGTGTGTGTGTGTGTATGTGTATAGGTGCGTGCGTGATTCATTTTGATCGCACAAGTGTCTATATGCGTGCTTGCCATGAAAATCCCTAGTACTAGTACAAATGTACAATAAGTGCATACCATCAGCAAGGAAGCGCGTCCAGAACCATTCCGAACGGTCAACATTAGGCAGGTTTTTGATTTATAATATGAGCTGTGCGTTTTCATAAGCACTTGAATTAGCCATATGTACGAAGGAGAGAAACATAACTACCAAAAACACAGCTGCCATTCTATATGAACGGTTTCCTGTTTCTAAATAATGCACACAGTGTGTAACCAAAAATATGTAATTAGACTCTGCTCAATTAAAGCCACTGTTTTACGCGAATACGACGCTGCTATAGAATTCTGGATAGTGTTCAGTGGATTGGTTATTGTTTAAATAATCTCAATTTAAAAGTAGCTCTTAATTTTTTAATTTTTGTTTAGAATAGTCAAAGCAAGTCTATGTGATATTTTCAAGGGGGACACTTGCTGACTTCAACTTTAATCATGGGAGAGTATCGTTCCTCCTTGTTTTCACCTTGGTCACTTTTTAGAATGTTATTTCTCACATTCGTTTTTGTTGTTTCTATGTTCGATCTTATGAATTATCTGTTTGTGCCTCACCCAGTCGTAATATTGGTGGATACGACTATACAAATCTTACGGAGTGGAATCTAACATTATTTTGATAATAAAGTTCAAAATATATCTGGGATGTAAAGAACCCCCCCCCCCAGCCCCCCCCCCCCCTTCCACACACACACACACACCAAAACAAACATCAACTGTATGCATTGTAAATTTTAGTGCGCAGCATGACATAACTTACTCAAATGATATTTTAGCATTTAATCAGCAAATAATACACGTACTTGATCTTTATTTATGTTCATTTTTGTTGCGTGACTTTTCTCTTTTTCCAAGTTTTTGGTTAAAAATACTTGGCTAATCGTGTTCAGTCAGACAAGAACACACGCTTTTGAAATACACCGTTGCATACAATCCAATAATGATCTTAGTTTGTCAAAAGAAAGATTGCTTGTCTGTCTATTTGCTTGTTTGCTTGTTTGTTTGTTTGGTTGGTTGGGGGAGGGTTTTGTAAACCCACACCTCCCTCCATTTTTGTGTCTTCCCCAAGCTCAGGGTGATTAGAACGTTATCTGCTAGTCATAAACCATAAACATGTCCACTTTTATTCTGGATAGCTTCTGTCAGTCAGCCGCCACGGATACCAATGTCCGTCCAGAGAGGTTGGTCTGTTACACTAGTACCTTTCGTTGCCATAACGTTATGTGGTGGGTGGTCTAATGCCCTGTGCACACTGTCAGTCCACATAGGATTCAATCACCTGAAGTTTGGGCCAGCCTGATTTTCCGCCGTGGGGTGGGGGGGGGGGGGAGGTTCTGGTTATTTGGTCTGCTGCTGGTCGGACAATAGTTATTATGTTTCCACTACGTCCTTAAAGAGTTAAAGAGAAAGAGAGGAAACAAGGGGTAAAGATAACGTGTGGCTTCTGCTATTGCCAATACGGCCAATTGGTCACTTTTAAGCTCTACGGGGTTATCCCGAAAAATTCTGTTTTGAGAAAATCAAAGGTAAAGATTTTGCCCCTTGTTCAGTTTCTTTAAAATACAATAAGAGTTTTCTCTGTGACCAAATAAATATGCACACCAATGAAACTAAACTTTTCCAACAGGTGGGACAATGCCCGCTTTTGGTGTACGTCAAGATTTCTGGAAGCCCCCAAAATCTATGTTAGCCCGCTTGAGCTTAAAGGCAACCAATTCTGACTGTAACTAATGCATTTGCAAAAAAGAATGAATGTTTCCAAAAGCTACCATTTTTGCCCAATACCACCGATTCGACTCGTAACCTTGAAAAACAAAGGCGTTTGATTTTGAAGGTCACAGTAATGTGTAATCGAATTCGGGAGAATTTTTTCCAGAATTACAGCTTTTTGCCCCATCCATGAAGGAAAATCCGGATTGCCCCGACTGAATCAAATGAATGAATTCGACTTGAAGTGTGCGCTCGGTTTAACACTGATCACAGTAATGACGTGTGCACTGTTGCTTTCACAATAATGTGAGGACGTTCACTAAGGCTGACCCTGTTCGTTGATGGTTGGCAGGTGCTCTAGTGTGGTTTGCTCCTTCTTTCTTATCAAACATCTATTTTCCTTATCTCACCTCTTTTTTTTGTGTATGTTACTCTCTTGTAACACACTAATTCTTCTGCACTTTTATGGCCTTATTGTGTTGCAAGTGTTGTAAAACTCTTACTAGATCTAGACTAAACAAATAAAAATACCTCTAAGCTTCGGCACTTAAATGACCTCATTTTGCTGCAAGTGCCGTAAAACTCTTATTAAAACCAAAGATGACCCTGTTCCCGTGTTTTCTCTGGAGGTATTATTTTAGAGAAGTCATCAGCAATACTAGTTCGTCCGTCAACGCCTGACTATGGCCAATGCATCTGCAGAGGAGAATGTTTCTTAAAGCGAAACAGAAGGAATCACGGGTAAAGATGGTATGCGGCTTCTGCTATTGCCAATGAGGCTAACTATGACGATGGCCAATGCATCGCTGCAGAAAAGAATGAATGTTTTTTAACAAGCAAAACAGAAGAAATAAGGGTTAAGATGACGTGTAGCTTCTGCTATGGCCAGTGAGACCAATTGTGACCAAAAAAAAGCTTGACACATTTGAGCTTCACTTCCACTCGTGCTAGCCATTAATACTAATTATCTTTGGAAAACAAAAACAAACCTAAGCGTGATTTCTACAAAGTGGAGACTATTTCTAGGTATCCTTCATTGTCAATGTTTTCAACCTAATCTACAAATACATTTTGTAACCAGCATTAGGTATGGACATAATTTAATCTACAATATCACAGCTTTAGGTGTGGTAACAAAATAAACCAATTATGTATTCGGTGTAAGACAGGCGTTCTGCAAAGTTAGATCATCAGTTGAAGGTTCTGTGCACTTCTTTTATTATTTTTTAACCAGTCGCTATAATTTGAAGAAGCACATTATTCACATGTGTCTGAAACTGGGGTTTCATTAGATTTAATAACTAAACTGGTTTTGCTGTGAAACTGTAGGCTAACATGCTGACAGAATGAGTGTGGCGTCGAAATTTGGAGATAGTATGTCACCACTTGAGCTCTCTCTATCTCCCTCTCTATCTATCTATCTATCTATCTATCTATCTATCTATCTATCTATCTATCTACCTCTCTCTCCCTCGCTCTCTCTCTTTCTCTCTCTCTCTCT